GTGACAGCCCCGATCACATCGATTCCCCAAACTGAAAATGGCCATGGCGAAGTCATATTGTACAGCTTTGAAGGTGGGATGTCCATGCGGTTTGCATGGATTTGACATTTGTGGCATTGCCGAACAAAGCCGATACAATCCTCCTCCATGGTGGACCAGTAGTAACCTTGTCTAAGGATTTTCCAGGCCAGCATCACCCCGTTCATGTGTGCTCCGCACTCTCCTCCATGGATGGCCTCCATTAGGCGCTTCGACTCTTCAGCCTCAACACACAGCTTATGCATTCCCAAATGACCTCCTTTGTACAGTTTTCCTCCGCAGATGATGAACTGAGCAACCATTCTTCGGATTTCCCTCTTGTCTTTGGCATTTGCCCCTGGCGGATACGCTTCTTTCTCCAAGATGTTTCAGACATCGTAATACTAGGGTTTTTTATCTTGAACCTCTTCTATGGCAGCAATCAACTCGTAGGCCAGAGCAAACTTCTGGTCAAAGATGATCGGACGCATCCGGACTCCAAAAGGGATGTCTATCATAGAAGATAGAGTTGCTAATGAATCTCCGAACCTGTTGTTTTCTCTTAACAGATGAGTGAAGTTCAGTTTCTCAAACCGAGGAATCAGCAAGTCCAAGGTCTGGTGGTAAATCCTTATCTTTTCTTCTTTAACTTTCCAATCTCCTTTAGCTTGAGATACAACAAGGTTCGAGTCCCCGATGACGTCCAACCGTTTTGTCCCTAGTTCTAGGGCGGCTTCTAAACCAGCAATGCACGCTTCATGCTCTGCTTCGTTGTTTGAGACTTTGAATCGGAGTTTAAAGGCTTGAGGGATACGGGAATTGTCGGGTGCTATCAGCAACACCCCTATCCCATACCCGTACTGGTTTGACGCTCCGTCAAAGTACATCGTCCAAAATTCTTCTTCGTCATGCAGAATGGCCTCATCTGGGAATAGGTACTCAACTGCTTCATCCCTTTCCACTGGGTGATCGGCTAGGAACTCCGCTACCACTCTCCCCTTTACTGACTTGCGTGTCACATACTTTAGATCAAATTCGGAAAGCAAAAGCAACCAACGAGCTAGCCTACTTGTAAGTGTCGGTTTCTCGAAGAGATATTTGATGGGATCTAACCTTGAAACCAAAATTAAAGAGTGAGCTAACAGGTAGTGCCGCAGCTTCCTGGTAGCCCATACCAAGGCTAAGCAAGCCTTTTCCAGTGGAGTGTAACGGGTCTCGTAATCCAGCATCTTCTTGCTCAGGTAGTAGATATCTCTCTCCACTCTGTCCTCAGACTCCTGCGCAAGCATGCAGCCCATTGTAGTCCTAGTTACTGAAAGGTACAAAACCAACGATTTCCCCAGCTCAGGCAGTGACAACACGGGTAGGTTTTGTAAGTATAGTTTGATCTGTTCAAAAGCAGCTTGGCATCGGCCGTCCCATTGGAACTTCGTCCCTTTCTTCAGGAGACTAAAGAGTGGTTCACAAGTCAAGGTTAATTTAGCGATAAACCGTCTTATGAATTGCACTTTACCTAGAAAGCCTTGCACCTCTTTTTTAGTCCTTGGTGGTGGCATTTCTAAGATGGCCTTGATTTTGGAGGGGCCGACTTTGATACCTCTCTGTGTAATCAAGAACCCCAGCATTTTTCCTGTTGTAACACTGAACGTACATTTCTGAGGATTCAGCCACAACCGAAATTCCCTGATTCTTTGAAAAAAACTTTTACAAGGCGGTGTAGTGGCCCTCTCTTTCTTTGGACTTGGAAATCATGTCGTCGACGTACACCTCAACCTCCTTGTGGATCATATCATGCAATATTGTGGTCACGGCCCGTTGATATGTAGCTCCAGCATTCTTCAGCCCAAACGGCATCACTCTATAACTGTAGGTCCCCCACGGGGTGGTAAAAGCAGTATTCTCCCGGTCTTCGGGTGCCATTACAATCTGGTTGTAGCCTGAAAAGCCATCCATAAATGAGAGTAATGGATGCCCCGCTGTGAAGTCCACTAACTCATCGATATGTGGTAGAGGAAAGTCGTCCTTCAGACTGGCTTTGTTCAGATCCCTGAAATCCACACATACCCGAATCTTGCCATCCTTCTTCGGCACCGGAACTATGTTGGCCAGCCAAGTTGGGTACTCAGATACCAGCAGGAACCCTGCGTTGATTTTCTTGGTGACTTCTTCTTTGATCTTGATGGCCCAGTCGGGGTGGATCCTTCTGAGCTTCTGTTTGACAGGTCGGGCCTCGGGGTTAAAAGGGATCTGGTGCTATACAATCTCAGAATCGATTCTAGGTATGTCTTCGTAGGACCACGCAAAAACATTTTTGAAATCTTTTAATAAAGCGACTAAGCGCTCGCATTCCTCCGAAGACAACGTGGACCCGATCTGGACCAGTCGCGGGTCTTTCTCAATACCAACATTAATTTAGATGATTTCATCAACCAAGGGTTTAACAAATCTCTCCTGCTCTTGATCAATTAAACGTTGTAAAATCGGAGGAATTTCTTCATTGTCGTTTTCATCAAAATTTTGAAAGTTCTGATTAATACAATAAACCAAAGGCACAGAAAAATACTCGAAGGCCACAGCCGCTTCATTCTCAGTAATCGTTCCATCCAGTCCATCTGATTCTTCTGTTACAACAGACTCAAAAGAGAAAGAAAAAGACGACCTAGACAGGACTGTGGCATCCAGGTTATCACTCCCAGGAATACTGGAGTCAGACTCAAACGAGCTGGAACCTAATTCCGACCCTACAAACTCGGTAGAATCAGATTCCGGCTCACTACCTGACCCGGTGCTGCTCGATAAGAAGCCTTCCTTGTACTGCCAGACGAGGGAAGGTGCAATGGATGCATCCAAAATGCTTGAAGGTGGGCTCGCAGCCGTTTCACTCCCGATCATGGATACTGAGAAGTTATCCCCCAAGCACTTCTGTACGATCGGAGGATCTGAAAGTAGACAAGCCAGTGCTACCCCCATTTCGATCTCGGTGTTCTCAGAATCCACTTTCCCACACTGCTTAACTTCAGTCGATGGGTCTGTTTGCTCCTCGGCAACGTCATCCCCAGATAACTGTAGGTCAAAGAAGATCTCAAATCCTGGCAAGCGGCGCTTCTCTGCGTTCAACCATGGCTCTGGGAAGCCGTAGAATGGAAAATCTTCCCCCTCCCAAACAAAGCATCCGTTTAGGGTACCCTGGACGGGTAGGTGCATTAATTCATAAGGCTTCCCTACCTGCTTTGCTCTAGCTCTCCCAGCCATCTCCTTGTCTTTTCTTGCCCAGTCTTCTTTGGTGGGCAGATAACCCAAACCAAAGGTATATGGGTTGTGCGGCACTTCGGCCGATACTGCAATGCCCTTCCAACCACTTCTTCCTAGTCCCATCCCAGGGATGTGCTGGAGTTTGTTCATGAGGTATACTGAATGAGCGCTGACATACACCCTTTCATTAACAGCTAGGATGTTCTGTACGACCCGGGCCTCGGCTAGGGTGAATCCTGATAGGAATACATCCTCCGTGCCATGCTCGATTTCCAAAACTGGTGTAGACACTTCCGGCGGCGGATGGATTGACGAATTCCCAAAAACTATAGCTACCCCTTCCCGTAAGGGTATTTCAATATCTAATGCAGGGTGGAAGAGACTGCCTTTACCTGGTGCAGCCACGGCCGCCCTAAGAGTAGATTAAAGGTTGCGGGAACGTCCAAGACATGAAAGTCAATCTCGTGTTGTCCTGGACCAACCTTGGTCTGAAACTGCATAGTCCCCATCACTTCTCTGCTTGTATTGTCATATGCCCATATCACCTGGGCAGTTGGCTCAAAGTCCACGGGCTTCAACCCGATTGCATATGCCGTCCTCGACGGACACACGTTAATGGCGGACCCTGTATCGACAAGAACCACCGGTACCCACTTGTCTCTGCACTCCACAGAGATGTAGAGCGGTTTGTTATGGTTTGCGCCCTCAGGTAGTAGTTCCTTGTCAGAAAAGGTCAAGGTCGGGGAAGCTCCCCCCAGAAAAACCAATCCTACCACCTGCTCAGGCGTGGTATCTATTGAGAGTTTGGCTTTGTCCATTGCAGATAGGACGGCTTGTCTATGGACTCGTGAAGCCATAAGCAGTCCCCAGATGGAGATGTCTACATGTATCTTCTTTAGCTATTTTAGCATAGCCTCATCTTCGAGCAATTTATCCTTTTGCTTGTCTGCCTCTCTGTCCTTTCCGGGCGCTTCTGGCTGATCTAAGTACGGGGGCTTGAAATACCGTTCGCTCCTAGTCATGTGATCTACTTCGCCAATGTACCAGGTATCATCTGGCTGGTTACTCCCCCAGTCCTCATCTATGTGGGCCAGACATGGATCATCATCTTCCCACCACATGCCATCGGTAGCAGACAGATACCTGTCCGACTCCGTTACAACTATTCCCGTGCCCACATCACCTTCTGTTCTTGTGTCCGCAGCATGCTCTGCTCTTGTGCACATAGCACGTTTTGTTTTTGTAGGGGCTTTGGCTTTCCTGACTCTCTCAGAGTCCTCGATCCTTTCCCACTCATATTGCTTCAGTGCAGCTTGTTGTTCATCATCTCTTATTTTCAAATTGCCAGATCCCGAGCAAAATTCTTAACACCGGCGCTTTCCGGTGATGCATCCAGATTCCCAGCCCTTTCGGCCACAGTTGATGTCCCCGTCCCTGGCCGACCCTGTTCTAGCTGTGGTTGTTCAAAAACATCCGACTGGTCATCAAGCCATCCAATAGACTCCGTTGACTCATCAAACCAATTGACTGCCACGTCTCCTAAGTCTTGTTCGTTGAAGAATTGAAGGTTCGCGATGCCCTCCTATAAATCTGCTAAGTCGTCTAGCCCCTGATTGAGTCCATCTTCCCAGGCTACACAAATCTCTGCCCCTACTGGCAATTCCACATTTGGCCTAACCTGGCCTGCTGATGTAATGTAACTGCTCGGGTTGTACATGAAGCTTGCAGACCTCTCAGGCTCTGTATTTGCATTCCCATCTGCCTCCGCAGTCAACCCAGTTCCATCTTCGACAGCTACCACCACCATTCCAGGTTGGGTTTGGGAGATTTCTAACACGCACAAGTCAATGCTGTCAGCAATGAACACCTCTGGCTTGGGTAGGTGAGAAAAGGTGATATATATACTAGGGTCGTATGGCACAAACCCAGTTTGGATCATATTAATGTGTTTGGGAGGTGGAGCTTGGTTATGTGGTGGGAGAGGGTTGGTTGTGACATTCAGTTTCTCCGGGGGCACGGTCACCCTGTTGTCGACGAGATCCTGAATCTCGTGACGCAATCTATAGCACTGGTCGGTGTCATGACCATGCTGTTGGTGAAACGCACAGTACTTCGCTAGGTTATGGGAGGGGGGAAGTTTTTCTGGCAATGGTCATGGCTCTAGGGGCGTCAGGTGCCCTTTTCTGATTAAAACCCCCAAAGCTTTGGACAGGGGCATATATAGTGGAATGAAGGTTATTTGGCCTTTGGGCGTGTATCTAGCTGTTTACGAGCTACTACTGGACGCGCCAGTGAATCGTGTAGCTGCAAGGGCTCTTAGGGTATTGGTGGTGGTAACCATACTCACATCTAAAGATCTAGCAGTTGCAGCACTGCTCATGCCTGCATTCGCACTGCGGTTAAATGTTCTCTTGGGCTGTTCTCTCTCATTATTAATGAGGCCCTGTGTAGACGTCCCCGAACGCCCCGGGAGGGTGAGTCCCGTTCTGTTCATTTGGGGTCACTACAGCTCGGACTCGATTTGTGTCACGGTTCTTAATCTTGAACCAAAGAGTCCAAATCTGGCAAATCGTTTTAAGAAACAGATTTTTGGAAAGAAGTGCCAAACATGGACTGCTTTGCCAGATACAGAGTCGCCACCTAAATATTTTGAAATGGGGAATTTATGAAACCTTGACTCGGTGCCGAAGGCCACATGTCCGTCATCACCAGAGTTGCCTCGGCTCGGGAGCTAGGGTACGATTGGGGAAGGTCAGCTATGAGCACCCCCTCTCGCCCGATCCGAAAATCGGCCTCTACTAACCGTGATATCCGTTTTTGAAAACAATATGTGTTCTTATTCCATTTATTAGCCTAGAATTACTATGTTATGCGCACAACAAACAAGTATAGACTAAATTGCTTAATTTGGAAAGAAGCATTGCATATCAGTTTGTCTCGAAAAAATGTTTTGGAATTTGCTACTCGCAAGTAGGTTAAAATACGGATTTCAACAAGTTTTTCCAACCCAAACAATCCAACCTTCACCCATAGGCATTCAAACAATTTATAACACATAAGCATCTAGCCACATGGTAAGCATGCTATCATATTAACATTCACACGCATGCGAGATGCTAAAGCATAAATACTTACATCGTACTCCGTGCCAAAACAGTAAACTAGTTAGCAAACATGCGTGATCCTAGTTCATGTCAGGTTGACTAATGCAGCACATGCAAGATGCAATTAGAGCAGGCTCGGCTAACCTAAACATGGCATGTGAAATGCAACCAATTAATGCACGTATTCAATTTGGGATTGAAATACAAATGCAGTTAGAATGATGTGCCGAGCCCGGTGCATGTAGGACAAATATATGGATGAACGCATGCATAACATAAGGTATGCTAATTTAAATGTGCCCTAATACTAACCATCAAAGCAGGTAAATAAAAGGGAAGAAAGAAGTGGGGATTAGAAGACAGACACACCATTCATACACACTTATTACACAATTGCCCTCACTCAGAGGGTACAAATAAATATTACAGTCCGGATTAACAAATACATTAATTATTACAGAATTTCTAATTAATTAATAGAAAGAATGCAAAAAAGGAGAAAGGTGGCCAAAGCCTCTGCCTCGGGATGCGCGAATGATGCATGCTCGAACCCGTCTCGTTCGGAAAGCCCGCACCATACCATTGTTGCCTCTGTTTTTATGGCCTTGCTTCTCTGAAAAATGCCAAAGTTCTGGGACAGGTTCCTTGCACACTGCAGAATACCACCGGCTGGAGGAAGTACCCACCGGCAGTGTATAACTTCCATCGGCTGCTGATTGAGTCATCGGCCATTCACCAATGGCCGGTCGGCACTGAATTATGCCGGTCGGCATAAACTTCCTGCAGGAGACAGTTTTGACAGCAACAGAGGACAGACAGCATATGGCATGGGATTTCAGGTACATGTAAGCATGGTCATGTCCCCTATCATGTGTTGAACTCAGGGAAGCATGGCCCTCGATCCTCGAGCCATCAATTGTGCATGATAGCCGAAGAGATCAAGCTTGCCTTTTGATGTAAGAATGCATGCAACACACAAATGAGGACCAAGGCCTTATCATGTCGAAGTCAAAGGCCCCGGTGACCGAGAGTTAGGGCACGTTGCATCACTTACGGTATGAACGCTCCTTAACCCTCACATTTGGTTTGACACCCCAAACCAAGTAATGCAATGCATGTTATGCTCACATGGCTCAAAATGCAACATGATACTAATTATGCAAGGCATGCCAAATGCCATGCAACTACTATGGCAAATATGCAATGCTAGGCATGCAAGATGCAAATGCAATGCAAACATGGACAATTTAAGCAATAAAATCATCATGTTACAACACCTAATGAAGTAATCATGCAACAAACATGAAACAAGCATGCAATGGTGGCTTAAAATGGTAAAGGGGCAGACCTTAATTCACCTCAAAACAGTACCTAAAAGTACCCAAAATGATGGACAAACTCTCATGCCAACATGCAAGCCAATGGACCTAGGGCTAAGGCACAAAAAGGGGCATTTTACTTCTACCAATATGACCAATCATGGCATGAATTAGACAAGTAAAAAAAGAACTTTAGCATACAAAAATGGACTCCAAAACCCACTAATATGGCACCTCAAGTGGCTCCAATGAGATGCATGCACCAAAACTCATTTCTAGGCATAAAAGGGCACACCCTCAAAGCATGAAAGAGGTCACACATGCAGGCATACAAACATGATTTATGGACTGAAATATGATCCTAAATGATGCCAAATCATGGGAAAGGTCTAAGCTATGCATGCTAGAGGCCAATATACTCAAGGCTTACAAGTCAAAACACAAAGAGATGACACTAAACAAGGCAAGCATGACTGAAATAGATGGCCAACAGACCTTAAACATGGTAAAATAATGCCAACACCTTCACGGAACTAAGCCAACACATGCAATAATCATGGCCTAAACACAAGATGCATTTCTAGGCCAAATAGGGGGATGTAAAGCAAGTATGTTAAGCATGCAAAGGGGCACAAATCCGACCAAAAACAGAGATTACATATGACCTAAAAACACCCAAAAACCTCTGAAAAAAAGGCCCAAACCAATCAAGCATACATGTTACCCTTTAAGCCAAAATGCAAGGAAACAAGACAATGAAGGGAGAGGGGTGTCCCTCCCCTATGCAAGGCTTCAAACCACCTTCCTTAACACTAAAAATCCACTGGTTTTCAGTGGTGAAAAGACCAAAACACTTAAGCAAACAAGGCCTTACCAAGGAGGCAACAAAAAGGCCAAATAAAGCCTAAGAGGGTGAGTTTGAACTCAAACCACAAAAGACCCTTAATGAAAGTTATTAAGCATGAAAATATAAGCCTTTTTTATGTTATACACAAGAACTAAATCAGCAAGCAAGATAGGTAAAAGACTAGTGCAAGTTTGGGGAAACTAAAGCAAAGTGCTCACCCTTGAAGCACACCTCAAGAACAGCCAAGGCAGCCCTCTTCTTTTGATCAAAAATAGCCCCAAAACTCAAGAATCAACCCTCCAAGTCCCTCAATCTCGGAGCAAGGTGTAATAGTGTGTGTATTAGTGCAAAAGTAAGGTAAAATCACACTTTTAGGCCAAGAAACACACACAAGGGAGGAGAGAGAGGGAAATATAGAGAGAGGGTGTATCTATATGTATAAGCTCTGGTTTTTCCTTCAAACTTTCTAACCAAGAACAAGGAGAAGAGATCTCCTCTTATAGAGGTCCCCCTTGCAAAGCTTATACAACAAGCTTGCTTAGAGGGAAATCCCTCCATACACGTGTATGGAGGGAAGCAGAGTTGGTGCCAGCTATCACAGCTGGCACAAAATATCTACATAAAGTAGATGAACAGTGGTCGGCTACTCAAAAATGCCATTTTGACAAAATTGAGTGCCGACCGACAAGAAAAAGTGCCGACCGGCAGAAAAGATTGCCGACTGAAACAAAACTCCAGCCGGTGGCCTGTGGCTATGGCCGGTGGTGTGTGGGGATGCCTCACAAGGCATTCCCTGCCCCTCCAAGGCAAAAGACAAGTGTTTGGTGCAAAACCAGACACTAAACGGTCGAGTTCGGAGATCCTGAGGCAAGGCACGTAGCCGGGACCTCCGGGGACTCCAAACGAACACAAACAAGGGTAATCACCAAGTGTTCCAATGGTGACATTCAAGTCTTGAGGACGGTCAAAAATTGGGTGTCTACACCCTGCTTCATAGTGTCTTCGATCTGCACCCCAATCTCATGTAAATCTGCAAAAGTGGGGAGGAGGAGAACGATCATTTTCTGCATAAGCATGGGCTGAAGGTTGCACACAACCATCCGAATCTGATCTTTGTCAACAGGCCTAATGGTCATCATCGAGGCCTTGGCCCTCCATCGGGTCACAAAATCGGAGAAGCTCTCCTTTGGTTCTTGCTTGGTGGTCTCGAGAGCACGAGTTGTGACCTCGATCTATGTATTGTAGGAGTATTGAGCTATAAAGGCCTCGGCCATCTCCCCCCAGTTTCTCTTGATGGAATCTTCCAATTTTGCATACCAGATGGCCGCTACACCTGACAAGGTCCGGCCAAACAAGGAAAGCTTCTGCAATCTGGATAGGCCGATCGGCCTCAGTATGTTCGAAAACAACTGTATATGCACCATAGGATCCCCAGACCCGTCAAAGCGGTCGATGTGTGGCATTTTAAACCGATCTGGCAACGTCATGACAGAGTCAGTATACCCATCCTCAATGTCCGGAATGGACTTCACAGCTTGAGATTTCTTCAACAGCTTTTCAAGCTTGCTCACTTTTAATGCCATGGGGTCTACCTCGAACTCAAAAAGGGAATCTAATAGATTGATAGCCGTGGATGCCTTGGATAGTTGAGGTAGAATCGGGGGCAGAGGTGGCCCCGTTGGGATGTCTGTATCCTCCTGGACATTCTGGACATTCACCGTCTTCCCAGGTATTGGGACTCTTGGTGGGGGGAGGAGTTTGGTGTGAAGCAGATGCTCCGATTTGCTGTTGTAGCCTGACAATTTACTCTGCCTGTTGAGCCATGACCTCATCCTGTTGTTTGGAAAATTATGCTTGACGAACAGCGTCCTACTGCATATTTTTCATACTTTCTTGGATCATTTCCTCCATCCCTGCTATACTGCCCTGATCTAACTGAACTGCCGGTATATCTGCCTCTGCAGTAGACTCGGAAATCTCAACCTAACTGCTCAAGGACCACTGATCTGGGAACCGCAGTACCGATACGCTGTGCCTTACTGACCTCCATCTAGTAACCGGGGGTAAAGAGTAGAACACTGGTTGTCCGTCTATCAAAACCTCAGATCGA